AGTGTCTATGTAATGGAGATGTTAAGGTACAGTGTCTATGTAATGGAGATGTAAAGGTACAGTGTCTATGTAATGGAGATGTGAAGGTATAGTGTCTATGTAATGGACATGTTAAGGTATAGTGTTTATGTAATGGAGATGTGAAAGTATAGTGTCTTTGTAATGGAGATTTGAAGGTATAGTATCTTTGTAATGGAGATGTGAAGGTAAAGTATCTATGTAATGGAGATGTGAAGGTATAGTGTCTATGTAATGGACATGTTAAGGTATAGTGTTTATGTAATGGAGATGTGAAAGTATAGTGTCTATGTAATGGAGATGTTAAGGTATAGTGTCTATGTAATGAAAATGTTAAGGTATAGTGTCTATGTAATGGAGATGTGAAGGTATAGTGGAGATGTTAAGCTATAGTGTCTATGTAATGGAGATGTTAGGGTATAGTGTCTATGTAATGGACATGTTAAGGTATAGTGTTTATGTAATGGAGATGTTAAGGTATAGTGTCTATGTAATGGAGATGTAAAGGTACAGTGTCTATGTAATGGAGATGTGAAGGTATGGTAACTATGTAATGGAGATGTAAAGGTACAGTGTCTATATAATGGAGATGTGAAGGTATAGTGTTTATGTAATGGAGATGTTAAGGTATAGTGTCTTTGTAATGGAGATGTGAAGGTATAGTGTCTATGTAATGGAGATGTTAAGGTATAGTGTCTATGTAATGGAGATGTGAAGGTATAGTGTCTATGTAATGGAGATGTGAAGGTATAGTGTCTATGTAATGGAGATGTGAAGGTATAGTGTCTATGTAATGGAGATGTGAAGGTATAGTGTCTATGTAATGGAGATGTGAAGGTATAGTGTCTATGTAATGGAGATGTGAAGGTATAGTGTCTATGTAATGGAGATGTGAAGGTATAGTGTCTATGTAATGGAGATGTGAAGGTATAGTGTCTATGTAATGGAGATGTGAAGGTATAGTGTCTATGTAATGGAGATGTGAAGGTATAGTGTCTATGTAATGGAGATGTGAAGGTATAGTGTCTATGTAATGGAGATGTGAAGGTATAGTGTCTATGTAATGGAGATGTGAAGGTATAGTGTCTATGTAATGGAGATGTGAAGGTATAGTGTCTATGTAATGGAGATGTTAAGGTATAGTGTCTATGTAATGGAGATGTGAAGGTATAGTGTCTATGTAATGGAGATGTTAAGGTATAGTGTCTATGTAATGGAGATGTGAAGGTATAGTGTCTATGTAATGGAGATGTTAAGGTATAGTGTCTATGTAATGGAGATGTGAAGGTATAGTGTCTATGTAATGGAGATGTTAAGGTATAGTGTCTATGTAATGGAGATGTGAAGGTATAGTGTCTATGTAATGGAGATGTTAAGGTATAGTGTCTATGTAATGGAGATGTGAAGGTATAGTGTCTATGTAATGGAGATGTTAAGGTATAGTGTCTATGTAATGGAGATGTGAAGGTATAGTGTCTATGTAATGGAGATGTTAAGGTATAGTGTCTATGTAATGGAGATGTGAAGGTACAGTGTCTATGTAATGGAGATGTGAAGGTATAGTGTCTATGTAATGGAGATGTAAAGGTATATTGTCTACGTAATGGAGATGTGAAGGTACAGTGTCTATGTAATGGAGATGTGAAGGTATAGTGTCTATGTAATAGAGATGTTAATGTAAAATATCTATGTAATGGAGGTGTGAAAGTATAGTGTCTATGTAATGGAGATGTGAAGGTATAGTGTCTATGTAATGGAGATGTTAAGGTATAGTGTCTTTGAAATGGAGATGCAAAGGAACAGTGTCTTTGTAATGGAGATGTGAAGGTATAGTGTCTATGTAATGGAGATGTTAAGGTATAGTGTCTATGTAATGGAGATGTTAAGGTATAGCGTTTTTGTAATGGAGATGTGAAGGTATTGTATCTATGTAATACAGATGTTAAAGTATAGTATCTATGTAATGGAGATGTTAAGGTATAGTATTTATGTAATGGAGATGTGAAGTTATAGTGTCTATGTAATGGAGAAGTTGATGTACAGTGTATATGTAATGGGGATGTAAAGGTATTAGTTAGCCCTTAGCTTACAGTTTGAGTTAATATAAGAGCGGAGGTTTATGTTAGCCTTTGGCTTACAGTTCGAGTTTATATGGGAGCGGGGTATAGGGAAGCCTTTTGCCTACAGTTCGAGTTGGTTTGGGAGTTGGTGCGGGTATAAGTTAGCCTTTGGCTTACAGTTCGAGTTGATATGGGAGCGGGGTGGGGTATAGGTTAGCCTTTGGCTTACAGTTATAATATATATGGGAGTGGGTGTATAGGTAAGCCTTTGCCTTAAAATTCGAATTTATATGGGAGCGGTGTGGGGTATAAGTTAGCCTTTAGCTTACAGTTCGAGTTTATATGGGAGTGGGGTTGGATATAGGTTAGCCTTTGGTTTACAGTTCGACTTGATATAGAACCGGGATGGGGTATAGATTAGCCTTTAGCTTACAGTTCTTATTTATATGGGAGCGGGTTTTGGTATAGGTTAGCCTTTAGCTGACAGTTCGAGTTTATATGGGAACGGGGTGAGGTTTATGCTAGCTTTTGGTTTACAGTTCGAGTGTATATGGGATCGGGTTCGGGTATAGGTTAGCTTTTAGCTTACAGTTCTAGTTTATATGGTGGCTGGGTGGGGTATAGGTTAGCCTTTGACTTACAGTTCGAGTGTATATGGGAGCGGGGTGGGTTATAAGTTAGCCTCTGGCTTACAGTTAGAGTTTAAATGGTAGCGGGTTGGGGTATAGGTTATCCTTTAGCTTACATTTCGAGTTTAGATTGGGTCAGGGTTGGGTATAGGTAAGCCTTTGTCTTACTGTTAGAGTTTAAGAGGGAGCTGGGTGGGGTATTAGTAAACATTGGCTTACAGGTTGAATTTATATGGGAGCGGGTTTGGGTATAGGTTAGCCTTTGTCCTACAGTTCTAGTTTTTATGGGAGTGGGGTGGGACATACGTGAGCCTTTGTCTTACTGTTAGAGTTTAGATGGGAGCGGGGTGGGGTATAGGTTAGCATTTGTCCTACCGTTAGAGTTTACATGGGAGCGGGGTGGGGTATAGGTTAGCACTTGGCTTACAGTTAGAGTTTAAATAGGAGGGGTTGGGGTATAGGTTAGCCTTTGTCTTAATGTTAAAGTTGATATTTGAGCGGGTTGGGAAATAAGTTAGCCTTTGACCTATAGTTCGAGTTGATATGGGAGCGGGGTGGGGTATAGGTTAGCCTTTAGCTTACAGTTCTTATTTATATGGAAGCGGGTTGAGGAATGGGTTAGCTTTTAGCTTACAGTTCTAGTTTATATGGGAGCGGGGTGGGGTATATGTTAGCCTTTGGTTGACAGTTCGAGTGTATATGGGAGCGGGTTGGGGTATAAGTTAGCTTTTAGCTCACATTTCTAGTTTATTTGGAGGCGTTTCTAGTTTATTTGGAGGCGGGGTGGGGTATATGTTAGCCTTTGACTTACAGTTCGAGTGTATATGGGAGCGGGGTGGGGTATATGTTTGCCTTTAGCATACAGTTCTAGTTCATATAAGACAGGGGAGATTAGTTAGCCCTTAGCTTACAGTTCGAGTTAATATAAGAGCGGGGTATATATTAGCCTTTGGCTTACAGTTCGAGTTGATATGGGAGCGGGGTGGGGTATAGGTTAGCCTTTAGCTTACAGTTCTTATTTATATGGAAGCGGGTTGAGGAATGGGTTAGCTTTTAGCTTAAAGTTCTAGTTTATATTGGAGCGGGGTGGGGTATAGGTAAGCCTTTGACTTACAGTTCGAGTGTATATGGGAGCAGGGTAGGGTATAAGTTAGCCTCTGTCCTACAGTTCGAGTTTATATGGGAGCGGAGGTATAGTTTAGCCTTTGACCTACTGTTCGAGTTTATATGGGTGCAGGGTGGGGTATAGGTTACCCTTTGGGTTACAGTTTGAGTTTATATAGAACCGGGGTGGGGTATAGGCTAGCCTTAAGCTTACAGTTCTAATTTATATTGGAGCGGGTTGGGGTATAGGTTAGCCTTTGTCCTACTGTTAGAGTTTAAATGGGAGCGGGGAGGGTTATAGCTCAGCCTTTGTCTTACCGTTAGAGTTTAAATGGGAGCAGGGAGGGGTTTAGGCTAGCACTTGGCTTACAGTTAGAGTTTAAATGGGAGCGGGTTGGGGTATATGTTATCCTTTAGCTTATAGTTCGAGTTTAGATGGGTCAGGGTGGGGTTTAGGTAAGCCTTTGTCTTACTGTTAGAGTTTAATAGGGAGCTGGGTGGGGTATTAATAAACATTGGCTTACAGGTCGAGTTGATATGGGCGCGGGTTTGGGTATATGTTAGCCTTTGTCCTACAGTTCTAGTTTATATGGGAGTGGGGTGGGATATACGTTAGCCTTTGTCTTACTGTTAGATTTAGATGGGAGCGGTGTGGGGTATAGGTTAATATTTGTCCTACTGTTAGAGTTTAAATGGGACGGGTTGGGGTATAAATTATCCCTTGTCTTACTGTTAGAGTTTATATGGGAGCGGGTTGGGTTATAGGTAGGCCTTTGGCCTGCAATTCGAGTTTAGATGGGAGCGGTGTGGGGTATAGGTTAGCCTTTGTCTTACTGTTAGAGTTTATATGTGAGCGGGTTGGGAAATAGGTTAGCCTTTGGCCTACAGTTCGAGTTGATATGGGAGCTGGGTGGGGTATAGGTTAGCCTTCAGCTTACAGTTCTTATTTATATTGAAGCAGGTTGAGGAATGGGCTATTTTTTAGCTTACAATTCTAGTTTAAATGGGAGCGGGGTGGAGTATATG